CCTCGGAGGACCTGGGGATATGGTGGTGGCCGCGGTGTGCGGAAGCAGCGGGTCGGCCCGGGGCGGGAGCCCCTGGGGCCTCCCGGTGGACCCGGGGGTCTGGCGGCCGCGGTGTGCAGGCTGGGCCGACCGGGAGGTCTGGTTACCAGCCTGGAACAGATCCCTATCCCTGTGTTGGGCATCGCCCCATCACGATGGCGATCTCAGGGATTTCCTCAGTTTCTGAGGGTGTATCCCTGAGATTGTCACCTCCTTTTGGCGTGTCATTCTTAGGGATAGGGATAGGTTCGAGGCTGGTGATCTGTTCTCAAACTCTAGCGGCCCAACCTGTCGGGTGAGCGACGATCAAAAACGAATACCCCCGCGAGATGGCGCGGCGACCCTGCGCCGTGGCTTACACGCGGGCCGCCGGCGCGGCACGCCGCGCGCGAGCCTGCGCACCAAGGCCGGCGCAGACGGCCCCGTTCTTTTTTGTGCGTCGCCCAGGTGGGGAACCAGCCTCGAACATATCCCTATCCCTAAGATGGGCGAGCAAAAAGCAAGGACAATCTTAGGGATAGACCCTCAGAAACTGAGGGAATCCTTAAGATCGGCATCGATTTGAGGTGATGTCAGACATAGGGATAGGGATATGTTTCAAACTGGTAACAGGTGGGGAACAAGCAGACAAAACCGAGTGAAGAAAGATAGAATTAGGTCGGGCATGTCCCCTACAGGCGGAGCTTGGGGCGAAAAATGAGAAATACGCAAAGCAAAAAACCCACCATAGTTAAAAACAAAAAAAAACTCGAAACGTCGTCCCCAGACTATGGCTTGCTTGGTGTTGCATGTTCCTCCTGTGGAGGGACATGCCCGACTTAGCTCTCTAAGGCTTCTGATCGCGTGCGTCGCCCCAGTGGGCCAGGGGGGTGGGGGGGCGACGCACACACAGTATCCTCCTCCTCCTCCTCCAACTCCTCCTCCTCCTCCTCCGCCTCCTCCTCCTCCTCTTACTCCTCCTCCTCCTCCTCCTCCTCCTCCTCCTCCTCCTCCTCCTCCTCCTCCTCCTCCTCCTCCTCTCCTCCTCCCTCCTCCTCCTCCTCTCCTCCTCATCTCCTCCCCCTCCCCCCCTCCTCTCCTCCTCATCCTCCTCCTCCTCCCCTCCTCCTCCTCCTCCTCCTCCTCCTCCTCTGCCTCCTCCTCCTCCTCCTCTCCTCCTCCGCCTCCGCCTCCTCCTCCTCCTCCTCCGAGTTGAAAACTGGCAGCCCTCGGAGCGCGCGGCGACCACGGCGACCGCGGCGGCGACGGCGGCGGTCGGCCCGCGGCGGCGCGCGGGGGGGGGGGGGCTTCGCGGCACGGCCGCCAGGCGGCGGGCTACGGCACCATCCACGTGGCGTCGCCTGGCTGGCGCGCCAGAGGGGGCTATAGTGGGGGGAAGACAAACCTACCTCGCTTTTGACCACCCTCGCTTCCAAGAGATACCGAACGATGCCAAATTGCAGCCTGTACTGGTCAGGCCGCTTGACGAGGAGGCGCGTGGTATGGCTTGGTTTTGCCTGGAAGCGAAAGCGGGGTAGGTAATTCACGCTCTGATGTGGGGGGCCACATGCGAACCCCAACCCCTACCCCCCACGAGTTCTGAGGGGGAGGGTGGGGTTCCCTTCGCTCGAGAGCTCCCGCACGAAGTGAGCCCCACCCTCCCCCTCCGAAATCGTGGGGGGTAGGGGTTAGGGTTCGCATGTGGCTCCCTACACGACCTACCAAACCACCCCAGCCCAGCCCGAAGACCCGAACTTCGCCCGAAGTTCGGGTTGGGGGAAAAGGTTACGGGCTCCATGGGTTTTTTTGTTCTGTGTTCCCCGACCCCCCCCCCCTCCACTGGAAGTGGAGGGCAAATCGAGGCCTTCGGCGGGCTGGGTTGGGGTGGTTTGGTGGGTGGAGAAGAGGGGGGGGGGGCCCTCCTCCCTCTCCTGCGCCCGCCAGGCCTCGCGAGAATCGGCGAACGCTCACGCCAGGCTCGTTTGCCAACACTTCTGTTGCAGCTCCTGGGGGGGCCTTGCCTGTCCCGTCGCGCGCCCACAATCCGCGCCGAATTCCTCACGGAATCCACGTCGGACTCTGACGAACCCGTCGACTCCGTGCCAAGCCTACGCCAAATCCACATCGAGTCCGCCTCAAGCCCGCGTAGGGCGCAGGAAAAGATACAACTTTCGGGGACAGGCGGTGTCCCCTGGAGATGCAACGTGACAGTGCCCCCCCCTCCCCCCCATGGATCAAAGTTGGCGGTGGCTCTGGTGAGTTGCACTTCGACCGCTACGTTTCCCGCGCGTACCACATCCGAATTCGGGGGGAGGGAAGGTCCATCAACTGTTTCCCTCTGCCCGCCTCCCCTGCCGGAAGAGGAGGAGGAGGAGGAAGAAGAGGAGAAGGAGGAAGAGGAGGGGGGGGAGGAGGAGGAGGAGGAGGAGGAGGAGGAGGAGGAGGAGGAGGAGGAGGAGGAGGAGGAGGAGGAGGAGGAGGAGAAGGAGGAGGAGGAGGAGGAGGAGGACGAGGAGGAGGAGGAGGAGGAGCCAGGACAGGCGCAGCATCGGACCAGGGGAAGTCAGGGCTCTCTGAGAATGGTTGACCCAAAGTGGAGTCCAGCTGCAAGGCAGTGGTGCCATAGGTTCGGGGCAATTGTCTTGCAAATGTACTGCGACGGAGACATGTATTGTATTGTGTTGCATCGAATGTGTTGCACGCGAAAATCCAGCAATGCACTTGCGCAACGGAGTGTCCTGCACACCCCAAATCGATTGCAACCCCACAAATCGAGAGCATCAAATCAACTGCACCACCCGCTTCCAGCTGGACCCCCCCCTTTGGGTCAGGAGAGATGTGTCGGGCGCCGACGCCCTGAGAGCGCTCCAGAGCGCTCTGGAGCGACTTGTCCCTATCCTGCTGTCTGCCTGAACTCTCCTCGCCGCATCACTTCCCCAGAGATCCGATGTCTTGCTTTGTTCACTGCGGGGTCCTCGAAATCCCGACCGTCCCCCCTGGGCCGGCCTACCATCCTGGACCGTCCTTTGACGGCCCCGGGCCCTGGTGAGAGACGGACTCTGGAGGCCGAAGGCGGCGAACAGAAGCTGTCCGCCGTGTTTTGCTCACGGCGCGAGGATGTCAGGTCCTCCCTCCTCTCCCCTCCCCTCCTTCCCCGTCCCACCTCGGGGGCGTCCAGGATTAGGTCGGGCATGTTCCCCTACAGGCGGCTTCTGGGCGAAAATAAAATAAAATACAAGATTACCCCAGTGCGACCCTACCTAGAAGTTGGAGCCCCTAGGAAAGCAGCATTAGTTGCTATGCTATGCTGTGCTATGCTATGCTATGCTATGCTGCGCTATGCTATGATATGCTATGATACGCTGCGCTACGCTATGCTATGCTATGCGATGTCATGCTGCGCTGTGCTATGCTGAGCTATGCTATGCTATGCTATGCCATGCTAAGCTGCGCTATGATATGCTATGCGATCATATGATATACTATGTTGTGTTATGTTATGAGTGTCTATGTTATGATATGCTATGTTATGCTAATGCAGCGCTGCGCTATGATATGCTATGCTATGCTGCGCTATGCTGTGCTATGCTGGGCTTTGCTATGATATGCTGTGCTGCGCTGTGCTGGGCTACGCTCTGCTATGCTATGATGTGTTCTGCTATGCTAAAGCTCGTCGAAGCTAAGATGAAGGTAAGCTAAGCTAAGATAAACCTGAGCTAAGATGAAGCTAAGCTAAGCTAGGATGAAATAAGCTAAGCTAAGATGAGATAAGCAACGCTAAGCTAAGGGAACGTCACTGGGGGACCGCGGGGCGAAACCTGGGGGAACCGCCCAGGGCGTGGAAAACTGCCCGGCCCTTTAAGCCAACACGGTAAGAACCCTACTAGGCAGAGCCTAGGTAGGGAAAAACCATAAAATACAAAAAATGCTCAAACAATCGTCTCCAGACTATGTTGTACTATTTTTGAGTATCCCTTCTGTCGAGGGACAAGCCCTACTTCAGAGGGGGGCGTCGGTCTCCAAACCTCGATCCTGAGGAAAGGGGGTGGCGACAACTTCAGCCGTGACCCCCGCTGGCGCTGCCTGAGCCCAGAATCAGTCAGCATCGAGTCGGAAAATCGCATTCACTCAGCATGTGCGACGGATCAGGCTGCATCTTGTGGATGCCATGACAACGGACACTCTAACCATTCTACCATTGAGCTGAAAATGTAATCAGACTGTCCTCTACATGTTTTGAGCATGTTCGAAACATGTTTGAAACATGTTTGACTTGACATACATAGTTTGCACATGTTTTAGACATCTGGGAATGATTTGACAATATGCCTCCTCTCCATCGTCTTCCACAAGCTGCATCGGCAAGGAGTCGAAACCGAATCGGATCGGCTGAGCCAGGATGTACCACGGCGCCATGCAAGCACCGGGCCCGTACCAGCTCGCCAGAATACAGTGGAGGCCCGACCACAAGAAACCTTCCACGAGAAACCCGACCCCGAGACCCCAGGACGTCCATGGACTTCGTGGTGTGGGAACGCCACGCCCTCCGTCACAAAAACATCGAAACCCAAGAAACCCAGGGGGCGCACTGGAGGCCAGCAAGGTGATGCTTGGCATGGGCCGCCACTGTTTGAGCAGGGACCGACCATCCTGGCATTACTATAGGCCTACCACGCAATGGTCTTAGAACCCAACAATATTCTAAGAACAAAAGCAATGTTCTTAGAACGTAACTCCGATGTGCTAGAACAAAGCAGACTCAGTCAGAAATGTTCGAAAAACATTTCGCACAAACCACAAAAGGTTCTTAGAACATTGCTCGGTAGGCCTGTAGGCGAGCCAGGACGCTTCGCCACTGCTTGAACTGTTTTGGAACGACTCGGATCGACTGGGCCAAAGATCGACATCGGATCGCACCGGTCGCATCGAAATGGACCCCGAAGCACGCGGCCCGCGCGGCGCGGCGAGAGGGGGAGGATGGCCGCACGCGCAGTCGAGGATGGACCTGACGCCGAAGGCGTCGACCACGGCCTCCGCCGCGGGCGGACGGGGGGAGGGGAGGGAGCGAGGGGGAGGGAGGGAGGGGCCGCCCCATACCCCAGCCCAGCCCCGTCACGTCAATGATTCGCGCGGCGAGCCAAGTCACGGCTCGAGCATTCCAGGACGGCGCCGGCGCGAATCGTGACGTGACCGGCCCCCTCCCCCGCCCGTGGAGAGGAGCAAGCAAGAGGGAAGGCCGCACGAGGAGCAGCAGCACCAGGCGGAGCAGGAGGGGAAGCGAGGGGATAAAACGGCACCAGCAGCAGGCCACGATGCAACGTAATGGGGAAGGAAAGGGGCCCGTGCCCCCTGGGCCTACTCCCAGGCCTACCCTAGGCATGCCCCATAGGGTCTACCACTAGACCTACCCCTAGGGCCTGCCGCGAGGCAGCCTTGGCCCACCCCCGGAGCCTACCCCTAGGCCTACCCCCCCCGGCCTGGCCAGGGTGTATCGGAGGAGGAGGAGGAGGAGGAGGAGGAGGAGGAGGAGGAGGAGGAGGGGAGGAGGAGGAGGAGGAGGAAGATGGAGAGGAGGAGGAGGAGGAGGAGGAGGAGGAGAAGAGGAGAAGAGGAGAAGAGGAGAAGAGGAGAAGGAGGAGGAGGAAGAGAAGAGCAGGAGGAGGAGGAGGAGAGCAGGAGGAGGATGAGGAGGAAAAGGAGGAGGAGGGTGAGGAAAGGAGGAGGAGGAGGAGGAGGAGGTGGAAGAGGAGGAGGAAGAGAAGACCAGGAGCAGGAGGAGGAGGAGGAGGAGACGAGGGAGAGGGGGAGGCCTCCAGCGCGGTGACGGCCAGCCGCGCCTCGGGGCTCCAGAAGTCGGAGCCTGGCCGCCGACGCGCGCGGGCGCGCGGCGGCGGCGGCGCCGCCGCCTGGGGCGGCCCGGGGCGCAGAGCGGGTCACCGAGGGCCCCTCGGAGGGCCTCCCAGAGCCCCCTTGGCCCCTCGGAGGTCCTCCTCCTCCTCCTCCTCCATCCTCCTCCTCCTCCTCCTCCTCCTCCTCCTCCTCCTCCTCCTCCTCCGCCTGCGCCTCCGCCTCCGCCTCCGCGTCGTAGGACGCACAAGGAAACACTGGTATTATGTCGGGCGTGCCCCCCTACAGGGGCAGTTTTGGACGAAAACTAGAAAACACTCCACAAACGCCACAAAGTAGCCAAAGAATGCTCCAAAAGTCGTCCCCAGACTATGTTTGACTATTCTTAAATTTTCCTCCTGTAGAGGGACAGGCCCGACCTAATTCTAGTACTTATATGGCGGACTTCGGAAACCCTGAACCCAAAACAACGTGATCATCTATACCGGAGGCGTGTTTTGTTTTACTTCCGCTGGCCTTCCGCCGGCGGAGGCAGCCTCGTGGTACTTCTGCCAACCTTCCGCCGCCCTTCCGCCGCCTTCCGCGGCGAAAGAGATGACAGCTCCGTCGATCCTCGAAGGCAAGCCCCTCTTGGGAGCACCTCATATGTCCTCCTTGGAGGCGTGCGTCCGACCAGAGCATGCAGTGCAACGAGCTTGTAGTGCATGGCCTCCCGCGCGGCACGGCCAGCGAGCGCCTGCCACGGAGCCCATACTGCAAGATGTTTGGGGTGCGCGGGTCGCCCCAGGGGGGGCCACGCATCAGAATGTTGGGGTAACGCCGACGTCACGAAGGGGTGGCATGGGGAACGCCTCGAGGTCAGGCGGGTGGCGTCTGCTTCCGCCCCCGTGGTCCACTTCGATCGCGACATGGGCGCCGTGACCACGAGGGCGGGGTCCATCCCCGAGTCTTCGCGGTCGAGCTGGTGGCGTCTTGAGCGTCGCGCCATGGAGGGGCGATCAGTGGGGTGGGCAGCGAGGGCTGTAGAAGAGGGGCCTTTGAGGGCCCCCGAATTGGGCCCTTTGGGGCCAAAGGGGGACCTCTGGGGCCCGAAAAGGGCACCTTTCTCCCCTCCCACATTCATCGCCCCCCGTTACGCGACGCCCAACGTCAACGTCTTCTTCCGCCCCTGGGACATCCACCCTGATGTGGGCTGGCAGAAGCTGAGCGACTGGCCACAGCGGCCAGGACGGCTACGGGGCTCTTCCGGAAGGGGGGAGGCCTGTGATAGAGGAAGGAAGAAGCGGCAAAAGCAGAAACCTGTCGCCGGTCCGCGCGGCATTTTCTCCCTCCCCCCATTGATCGCCCCCCCTTACGCGACGCCCAACGGCATCGTCTCCTGCCGCCCCTGGGATAGCCGCCCTGAGGTGGGCCTGGCAGGAGCTGAGCGCCTGGCCACAGAGGGGGGGGGGGGCCCGGGCGGCGACGGGGCTTCTCCTGGAGGAGGAGGCCTGCAGTAGAGGAAGAAGATGAGCATCGCCTAACCGATCCCTATCCCAACTGGTGGCCTGGGCCCCACTGGCCGATTTGCCCCCCTATAGGCTGCTCCCTTCGGGTCTCGAGGGGTATATCCCCAACTGGGGTGGTGAGACGGTGGGGCTCGGGATTGGGATGGGGATGGGGGGATGGGAATCGGTTAAACGATACTGAGAAGAAGCGGCATCAGCTGTTTGCGTCGGCGGCTGGGCAGGGCAACTGCGCTGGCGGAGGGCTACCTACACGGGGACACGGCTGCAGCGAATTGTACCACCATGCGGCGGGGGCCGAATGAAGCGGCATGAGTGCATCAACAGGTCGACGGTCCGCGCGTCCTTGTTGGATCCTGCGCGTGACCCCCCTCCCCGACGCGCGAATTGCGCCGTGGGGCGGCGCCAGAGGCGCCGCCTGGAGGCGCCGCCAGGGTGGGAGCCCAGCGCAGATACTTTTAGGAAACCCGAGCGGACCGACGGGAGGTTGTGTTTGTGCCGTTTTGCCTTCTTCGACGTGCACCTGGTATTGTACGCACCAGACTTGTGTGCATATCCACTGCAGCTTGGAGTTTCGGGCCCCCTTTCCCAGAACCCCGAGGCGCACTGGACACGGACGAGAATCTGGCCCCATATATAGAGGCTCGCTGTCTGTCCATGTCCAGTGCGCCTCGGCCTTGCGGCGCCCCTTCCACGACAGTCCAAGACGCACTGGAGATGGACACAAGATACCAATCTCGTCTGCACATCGGGCACGTGTGAGCGTGCCCCGCCCCCGCGGCCACGCGCGCCGACCATCCCCCGGCCCGCCGCCCTGCCTGCCCTGCTGCCTGCTGTCGCTGCCCCGCGGCCCGTCGCGCGGCGGCACCCGCCCCGCCGAGCCAGCGCCGACGCAGCCGGCCATCCCCGGAGGCAGGCGCCACGCGGCCTCGCCCCCAGCAGGCAGGCCTCCGCTGGGCGGCGTCGCGACACCGCATCTCGGATCTGCACTGGGTCGGTCGGATCGCCGCGGCGCAGGTGGACCCGAGTCGCATCTGACAGGGCCCGTGGCCCCAGCCGGCGGATCGAGCCACGTCGCATCGGATCGCGCAGGCGGCTCTGTAGGTGACTACCTACCAGACCACCCCAGCCCAACCCGAAGACCCGAATTTGACCCGAATTTCGGGTTGGGGGGGGTTACGGATTCCATGTGTTTTCTCAACGTTCCCCGACCCCCCCCCCCCACTGGAAATCGAAGATAAATTGAGGCCTTCGGGTTGGGTTGGGGTGGTTTGGTGGGTGGTGAGTAGGGGGGCATGGAAACTGAAGCTGAGGCCGATCCTCTGCCCGAGTGTGGCCGAGGCCGGCGCTCGATGTGGCCCGCACTCGCCAGCGCGACTCTTCGCTTCGAGGCCAGAAACCACTGCCCACTTCGGCCACAATCTCGGTCACACCTCGAGTTCGGTCGCGCATCTTCTCGGTCACCGACCCTTTCGGCCACATTCCATTTCGGCTGATAGGAATTGGGCGCCATGCAAAACGATTACAGATTACCAGCCTCGAACTGATTCCTATCCTTATGATTGACACGCCAAAAGGCGATGACAATCTTAGGGATTCGCCGTCAAAAAATAAGGGAATCCCTAAGATTGGCATCGTGATGAGGAGATGCCCAGCATAGGGATAGGGATATGTTCCAGGCTGGTAAACAGAGGCGGTGCAGGAGCGCCTCGAAGTGAGCGGCGGCGGCCGGGACAACGAGGCCCGCGGAGGGGGCCCATCGGGGAGGCGCCCTCGGAGGGGCGCCAGACACCCGGCGTCGCAGCTCTCTGATACGCCACGCGGCCCGGCATCGCCTCGGCAAGCCGGACCGGAACGCGCGTCGGGCTGGGCATCGGCAGGACGCCGAAGTTGCATCGGATCGGCTGCGCCAGGATGCATCATGGCAGCTCGCAGGCAAGGGGCAGCACCGGATCGCTGGGATCCGCCGATCCGGCGCGCGAGTTTCTGAGAGCGTGGACTTGAGCTCGCTCAAGCTTCGCTCTGGAGGAGGGGGGGGGCACGTTATTTCCGACGTCAGTTCCGACGTCTTTCGGTACACGGGGATATTTCCGATGTCATTTCCCATGTTTTTCGGTACCCGGGGACAGGGGGATATAGAAAACTCCACTTCCGGAGCCCCGACCGCCCAAGACAGCCCAAGAGGAAGCCAAGAGAGGCCCCAGAGGCCCCCTAGACAAGGCAAGAGGGCCCCGAATCGCCGAAACATCGCTCGATCCGCCCGAGATGCCACGAAGACAGTTCCAGAAACCTCCAAGACGTCCCCAGGATCCCTCACGACACTTCCCAAGAATGCCCAAAGACTGACAAATAGATCCATTCCCTTGAAAAAACGCATATTTTCGGCATATTCGTTTCTTGGGCCTTCACAGTGTCCAAGACGGCCCCAGAGCTCCCTAAGACACGCCAACAGGCCCCCAGAATGGCTCCAAGACGGCCCCCGAAGGGCCCAAGACGGCCCAGGAGCGCCACAAGACGACCCAAGTCCAGAGCCCAGACCGCACAAGACGGCCCAAGAAAAAGTCAAAAGAGGCCCAAGAGGCCCCCTAGACGGTCCAAGAGGGCCCCGACTCGCCGAAACATCGCTCCAAGCCGCCCAAGATGCCCCCAAGACGGCTCCAGAAGCCTCCAAGACGTCCCCAGGATCCCCATCATCATCTCGCTCTCACCCCCCCGGATCGGCGGCACTGGCCAGCCGAATATCGGAATCGAATCGGATCGGGCCGGCCATAACCGATGCCGAATCGGATACATGGTATCGAAATGGACCCTGCAGGGGGAGAGGTGGCAAGGCGACCGCATGTTTGCGTGGTCCGTTGGGGGTCTGCGTGGCCGAATTGGCGGCCAGATGAGCGTCACGGTGGCCCGCGCTGTGTTAGGAATTCCAACACTTCGGTAAGTGCCTCCTTTAATACCTGTAGATCTCTCGGCAGCCCTTTTTAAAGGGTTGAATCCCCGCCCACAGAAAAGACGGCAACACAGGAACCCATGTGAATGCGCGTTGAAAGCAGCGCGGCAGTCATGATAATAGCAATGTCGGTGGCGGCGGCGGCGGCGGCGGCGGCAGCGGCAGTCTCAGCGGCAGAAATAGTAGCAGTTCGATTGGAAACACAAATGTTACGTTTAGTCGCAATCGTTGTGGTAGTAGTTGGTGTGGCTGCAACAGTAGCCGTCGTAGTCCTGGTAAAGGTGGTAATAAAACCGTAGCAGCCGTAGTAAAGGTAGTAGTCGCGACGGGGAATGATAGTAGTGGTAGCCGTGGTGGGACAAAGCTGCAGAAGTAGTAGAAGTACTACTACTACGACTGCTACTACGACGACGACTACTGCTACTACGACGACTACTACTACTACTACTACTACTACTATTACTACTACTACTACTACGAATAATGATAGCACTAATAATAATAATGCTGCCGCTGCTGTTGTTGGTGTCGATGCTGCCGCTACTGCTGGTGCTACGACTACTACTACTACTACTACTACGACGACTACTACTACTACTACTACTACTACTATTACTACTACTACTACTACGAATAATGATAGCACTAATAATAATAATGCTGCCGCTGCTGTTGTTGGTGTCGATGCTGCCGCTACTGCTGGTGCTACGACTACGACTACGACTACGACTACGACTACGACTACGACTACGACTACTACTACTACTACTACTACTACGACTACTACTACTACTACTACCACTGCTACTACTACTACTACTACTACTACTACTACGACTACTACTACTACTACTACTACCACTACTACTACTACTACTACTACTACTACTACTACTACTACTACTACTACTACTACTACTACTACTACTACTACTACTACAAATACCACTACTACTACTACTACTACTACTACTACTACTACTACTACTACTACTACTACTACTACTACTACTACTACTACTACTACTACTATTACTACCGCCGTGCCCGGCGATTGGCGGATTCGGCGCACTCCTGGCCATACCGTCATTCGCCAGGCATATCAAAATGAGTGCAACATAAGTCAACACTCACTGGAGCACAGGACGGCGGAGCCAATTTCGTATCCCGGTTCACGGGCACCACAATCAGAGCGTACGTGCGAAGCCCCCGCTTTGGTAAAGCGACCACTGATACTACTCTCGCTGATGGGAAAAAGGCTGTGGCTGCTGACCGAAAACGAGGAAGACGAGCTCCTGGAGAGCTTCGGTTGGTAACCCGTCATTTGCCAGGCATATCAAAATGAGCGCAACATAAGTCAACACAAGTGCTCATATCTGGTCTAGGACTGAGTATGCCCAACTATTCGGGCACCCCTGGTCCAGTTCGCCCTCAGCGTTCCGGCGTGTGGTTGGCCATCCTCTTCAGGACCTGCCACAACCAACCACACGGGGCAGGCCGACGCTGACACGAACGACTTTTTGGCCTTCAAAGAAGGGAGGAAAGAACTGCCCCGTCTTTCGTGACACCGTCGGCACCTGGCGGCTAGGCCGCTGATGCCCCCCCTTTTTCCTTGTGACCCCCCGCCCCCGTGACCAGAGCACTCACTGGAGCACAGGACGGCGGAGCCAACTTCGTATCCCGGTTCACGGGCACCACAATCAGAGCGTACGTGCGAAGCCCCCTCTTTGGTAATTAAAGCGACCACTGATACTACTCTGGCTGATGGGAAAAAGGCTGTGGCTGCTGACCGAAAACGAGGAAGACGAGCTCCTGGAGAGCTTCGGTTGGTAACCCGTCATTTGCCAGGCATATCAAAATGAGTGCAACATAAGTCAACACAAGTGCTCATATCTGGTCTAGGACTGAGTATGCCCAACTATTCGGGCACCCCTGGTCAAGTTCGCCCTCAGCGTTTCGGCGTGTGGTTGGCCATCCTCTTCAGGACCTACCACAACCAACCACACGGGGTAGGCCGACGCTGACACGAACGACTTTTTGGCGAAGGGAGGAAACAACTCATACCAACACAAATTGGGCCACATGAACACCCAGCGGGCCACGCAAACACCTATTCTCTCGGGACAGGGGGGGGAGGTGGGGAGGCGGAGGCCGAGACGCACCGCCCCCCGAGGATTGCCCGCCGTGGTTGGCGGAGGCCTCCTCCCTCCCCCCAAGGCATCCAACGTCGGGCTGTTTTCACGGCCTGGCGCGGATTTGGGGAAAAATTGAACGCAAACAGAAAGATACTCAAAAATTGTCAAAATAGTATAAAAATCGTCCTCGGACTGTTTTTCTACTATGTTTGAATGTTCCTCTTGTAGAGGGACATGCCCGACTAAAGCCTGCCTCCCCAGAGGTGCAAGCCCCGTCCCGGGGGCCGGACCCGCGACTGCCCCCAAGAGAGGCCGAGGGTGGCCAGAGGCCTTCGGTCGCTGGATCGCTTCACGAGGCGACGAGACCTCCTCCATTCTCCTCCTCCTCCCTTCTCATCCTCCCGCTGGCGACGAGACTTCCTCCCTTCTCATCTCCCTCCTCCTCCTCCTCCTCCTCCACCTCCTCCTCCGTCTCCCCCTCCTCCTCCTCCTCCACTTCTCTCTCATCCTCCTCTCTACCTCCTGTCCCTCATGTCTCTTCTACAACCTCCTGTCCCTCCTCCTCCTCCTCCTCCTCCTCCTCCTCCTCCTCCTCCTCCTCCTCTTCCAGTGGGCGGATGAGGAGGCAGAGGGGGAGCGGCGATGGCCAAACCTCTCGGCCCGACGGCGGCTCGAGCGGCACTGGCACGAGCCGACACGGAGTGGAGGACGGGAGGGAGGAGCCAAAGGGACGGGAGGGGCGGAGGGGAGCGCAGTCGTGGCGCTGCCACAGGGGACGCCGACTCGGTGCCGCAGGGGCGCCTCTGGCCACGGCGAGCCTCGCAAAAGGGACTGTCCTCCCCGAGCCAAGCAGCGCTCGGGGAGCCAGAGCCCCTCCCGATCCCAACGCGGCATGTTGTGAAAGCGTGTTGGCGGTAAGAGGGGATGGAGTTGAGGGATGAAAAAACGACCCTACCCTGGGTTACAAGTGCGTGGTCTGTAAACCTCCTGGGAGCCCCCAGAGCCTAGAGCCGCCAGGACGCGGCACATCACGCAGGTTTTACCCTGTCAGCCCACAGGAGCTTCAGCGCACAGCGCCTCGTAAACCAGGGTAGGGACGTGTTTTTATGCCCTTGATGGAGGAGCAGCAGCACCAGCAGCAGCAGGGGAAGCGGAGCAGGAGTGGGCTGATCAGGAGGCGAGGGAAGAGGGCAGGCAGGGCAGGACGAGGAAGGAGAGAGGGGGTCAGGAGGAGCAGGAGGATCAAGACGCGGCGGAGGCAGAACAAGAAGCACTGCATAGACAAACTGTCGGAGGTCCGCGCAGATGTCCGAGATCGGCGCCCCCCACGCACACACACACACACACACACACACAAACCACACCGGGCTCGCGGAGCGCGACCGGGGCGACGCCAGATGCCGCCTAGGGGAGCCAGCGCCCACCCAAGTATTCCGCGCGGCTCTCCGAAAGAGTGTGCTTATGAAGCCGTGCCTCCTCCTTCTCCGAGGAGGAGGAGGAGGAGGAGGAGGAGGAGGAGGAGGAGGAGGAGGGGGGGAAGGAGGACGACGACGACGACGAGTTTCCCGAACACGCCCTGCTGAGGGAGAAGTATCGCTTCCTTCCCAGTCGGACCGAGGAGCAGGAGGAGAGGGGCGGGCAGGAGGAGCCGGGAGCGGCAGGGGGGGAGCAGGAGGGCGGAGGAGGAGCTGGAGGGGGGGGGGGGAGGAGCAGGACGAGACAGGCAGGGGGGGCGCGGAGGGCCCGTCCCCGAGCGCGACACGTCGCTGCCCCACACGTTGAACTGGTACACCACCGCGTAGGCCCTGTCCTGACCAAGCGCGGGCCGTCTCGAAGGCGGCCGTGCTCGCTGCCCTTAGGCACCCTCGCCTCGGGAGCAACATCGCGGCGGACGGCCTTCGGCCGCTCTCGCGGACCCTCGGAGGCTTCAGCCTCGGGGTGACCTCCAGCAGCTCCGCCACGCCGAGAGCGTTCCGGGAGAGGGGGGGGGCGCTGGATCGTCTCGAGCAGCGCAGCCTCTACCACGTCCCCCTCCTCTCCCTACTCCTTCCTTCCTTCCCCCTCCAGCCCCCGTTGTTCGTCCCCCTTCCCTATCATGCTCTATCCCCTCCCTTCTGCTCCTCCTTCTCCTCCTTCTCCTC